ATCGAGCGTCGAGCAGGGCGGTGGGCGGAGCTGAGTGCCGAGCGGCCCCGCCCCGCCCCGCCCCGCGCGTGCGCCCCAGGAGCCCCTCAAGGTCCGCACCCCCTGGCGGGTCCCAGGCGCGGCCGGGCCGGGGGAACTGCTCTCCGCGGACGGAAGGAGGGTGAGTACGTGCGCGGCCCGCGGGCGAGCTGGGGCCCAGACAGGGGGCGGGTGCGCCCGGGAAAGAAGGGGACACGGGGGGAGGTGACACTCCGGTGAAGATGGCCCGGGACTAGAGCAGCCTGCGGGGGGCAGGGGCGCCCGGGGAGAGGAGCGGGGCGTCCAGGGCAGACGTACCTTCGAGAAGTGGAGGTCCAGGGAGGGTGAAGCCCCCGGTGAGAAAGGGGGCGCCAGGGCCAGTGCTGCCCAAGGGGGGACGGGAAGGAGGCGCGCGGGGCAGAGAGGCTCCGAGGCTCGGAAGGTGGAGGTCCCCGGCCGCGCTGCCCCGTGGGGAGGGCGGGAAGGCCGCCTCCTTCGTTCACAGCGTCCTCCCTCCCCCCACGGTGCTGGCAGGGGTTGCATGGATGGTGCTCAGTCTGAGGGTCCTGCGCCCACCGGGGGTGACGGGCGCCTCCCGAGGGCGGTGCTGCCTGGCGCATCCGAGGTCCTCTTCACCGCCTCGGGGCCTTCCCGGTTGCCACCCGTTTACTCTCCAGGTCTTTTCCAGGGACTCCTCGCGGCTGGCTCTTCTGCAAGATGTTGGGGTTTCTGCAGCGCCCCGTCGTGGTGACCGCGGATGTCAACTTGACCGTCGTGGCTCTGACGGCGGCGGGGCTGCTGAGCCGGCTGTGGCGCCTCACCTACCCCCGGGCTGTGGTGTAAGCCAAACCGTGCCGGTTAAACAGCATGAGCGGGAGAGGGAAATGCTGGGGTTCGGGGCAGTTAGAGGAGAGGCTGGTTTGTCCCAGGAAACCCCTGCAGAGCCCACTGCCCAGTCCTGCCCTTGGGCCGGGGCAGGCGCAGCAGCCTCAGGGGACCATTTGAGACCTGGAGGTTGGGGGCAGAGGCTGAGGCATATGGAAGTGAGTCCTCATTGACCTTAGAGGTGTTCTCTGTTATAATGGGAAACGATCCCTTTTACTAGTGAAGGGCTATTTATTATCTAACACATGTGTTGCTCTTTGTTCAACTTTTTATTATGGAAAGCATCAAACATATACAAATACGGGGAAAATAGTATGATGACCCCTCACCCCTGTATTCACCACCCAGCTTCTACAGTTATCAACTCACAGGTTGGGGCCAGCCGGCCGGCCCCAATCGGCCAATCGGGCTGGGCTGGCTGTGGGGAGGGGACGCGGGAGATTGGCCAGCCGCCCCCGCCTCCTGGTCGAACTCAGGGTGGAGGGGACAATTTGCATATTAGCCTTTTATTATATAGGATAGCCACCCCCTCCCTGCAGTGGATTTTTGGAAGCAAATCATAGACATATTTTGTTCGTAAGTAATTCAGTGTACTAGTGTCTCTTAAAGACCCAGATTCTTAATAAAACACAAGACCACAGTAGCATCATCACACCTCAAAAAATGGACGGCGATTCCTTCGTGTCTTCACCTGAAAGCGTTTTGTCACAGTGGGTTCCTGCATGGAGCTGGTGGACACGGGGGTTGGCCTCGGGTCTGGGAGGCCTTTCAGGGGCCGGCTAACGGCACACCCCTAAGTCCAGAGCGAGGGAGACACACAGAGCCTGTGTTTCGGGGAAGGCTGTGTACACGTGTCTTCACACCTGGGGACCCGACGTGGTTGGGGCGGAGATCGGACCCTTGCCGATTGCGCCCTGAAGCTGTTTGGAAACACAGGTGTACATTTATGCTGGTGCCTTTCTGCAGCTCAGATTCATAGTGAAGTGCCTGTGGGTTTGTTTTCCAGTTTCGATGAAGTCTATTATGGGCAGTACATCTCTTTTTACATGAAGCGGGTCTTCTTTTTGGATGGCAGCGGACCGCCCTTTGGCCACATGCTGCTGGCTTTGGGAGGTAGGAACCTTCAGGAGTTATAGGAGGGCCCGGCCGGCGTGGCTCCGGGGTGGAGCATGGACCTGTGAGCCAGGAGGTCACAGTTCGATTCGCAGTCAGGGCACATGCCCAGGTTGCGGGCTTAATCCTTGGTGGGGGGTGTGCAGGAGGCAGCCGATCAATGAGTCTCTATCTCTCGCTCCTCCCTTCCTTTCTGAAATCAATAAAAATACATATTATTTTTAAACTTATACACGAACTTTCTTGAGGGCAGTGGTCATGTCTTATTATTTATTGACTGTTGCTTGCTGTTGGCCGCCACTGTTCGGCACTCCTGAAACACTGCTGAACGGATCGTCGCTGATCAATCCTGTTTTAGGTTATTTGGGAGGATTCGACGGCAACTTTGTGTGGAACAGAATCGGAGCAGGTACATCTCATTTTCACTGCCCTTGCTAATTTGCATGTATTAGAATGGGGAGCTAGTGGCCTTCATAGGAATGAACAACTGGTTTATCAATGTGAGTCCAGGGTGTGATCGATTGTTTGGGTACACGTGACAGACTTTCAAAAAGCCTGGTAAACATCTTAGTGTTTAGTGACAGTGATTCCTCTGTGTCTCTCTTGGATGTACAAATCGTGTGTGTTGCCACAGCGACTTAGGAGATGGGGGGGTAAAGCACGAACTAATTTCAGATCCTGAGTCTCGTTCCTGCGTGCCGCTGACGGTAGCGAGCGCATCTCAAAGGCGTGCTCACACACCAGTTCCCGACGAGGCCCCCAGTGTCGTGAACGCTCGTACTGGAGTCTGTGAGTGTGAAACTCTGTTTGCAAACACGGTGCGCTCAGCTCCGCTGTGGTTGCGTTCCAGAATACAGCAGCAACGTGCCCGTGTGGTCCCTGCGCCTGCTGCCGGCCCTCGCAGGGGCCCTGTCGGTGCCGATGGCCTACCAGATCCTGTGGGAGCTCCGATTTTCTCACTGCGCCGCCATGGGAGCCGCCCTGCTGATGCTCATCGGTAAGGCCTGGGCCTCGGCCGGCTTTGGTTGGTGCAGGAGGAGCCACGGGCAGGCCTTGGCTACGCTTAGTGTGTGGCCCAGGAGAGCTCGGAGTTTAGTAGATGTGCCCCCCTCAGCAGCTTCTGCTCCTAGGATGGAAGGAAGCTCAGGCAGTTGGTCCACATCTGACTCTGGGGGTCACCCCGCTCTCAGGCTGGGGGCTGTGGAGGTGGGTGGCCAGACTTCACGTTGTGGGGGTGGGGCCATATGAATTGGGGCTGTCCAGACAGGTGCCCGGGTAACGGTGAACACCTCCACCTGCACCCACGTCTGCCACTCCCGGATGGCCTGCCGGGTTCCACCACCTCCCGGGCCCCACCCCATGGCCATGGCAGAGGAGTTAGAGGGTATTCCTCAGACAGGGCCTTTCAGCCCAGGTCTCCCACCAAATGAAGTGAACTCGCATGCAAAGTCAGACCATCTGTAGAGAAAATGGAGGCCCTTTGCCAACATCAGGCCATAGCACGCACGGCGCCCACAGAGCCGGTGTTGCTTCTGCAAATGAGAAAACGACAGACTCAGAGAAGCTCCGTGACTTGCCCAAGGTCACACGGTCTCAGTGGGTGTGACTCCCCCTAAGAACTTGCCCTCGTGGTTGTGGAGACACCCCCATGCTGAACGGGACGTCCCGCCGTCCGCTCTGAGCGCCTGGGAGCGTTTGCTTTGTGGGTGTTTGATCTTCACGCCTTTGCTTCCTTCCAACACACACTGCTCCTCCCAACAGAGAATGCGCTGATCACGCAGGCCAGGCTGATGCTTTTGGAATCGCTGTTAATATTTTTTAATCTACTGGCCGTGCTGTCCTACCTGAAGTTCTCCAACTCCCAAAAGCACAGGTACGGCCCGGGAACCGGTCCTTCTAGTTAACGAGGAGGAAGAGGCTGGGCGGCCTGTCCACCCAGAAAGGGCTGAGCCTCTTCGTCCGGGAGCGCCCGCTGGCTGTCTTGCAGCCACTCAGACCGGCCCTCAGCTCATGGCTTCATAAATGCATCCTCGTTTTCCTGTAACTTAAACTGGAGAAATGCTCTGGCCAAAAAGAGAACTCGCGGACCGATGATGGGGAGAAGGGGGTCCATTTTCCGCGTCTCTGAAGCTCGGTCCAGGCAGCCACCCTCGGGATCACGGAGACCCGTTCGCAGCTCTGCCTCCGTCCTGCCCGCAGGCCCTTCTCCCCGAGCTGGTGGCTGTGGCTGACGCTGACCGGAGTGGCCTGCTCCTGCGCCGTCGGGTGAGTCCGGCCGGGTCTGAGGCAGCGCCTGCGCCCTCCTCGTCTGTCTCATTTTAACTTCCCCTCCATCGGTCTCTTCAGCATCAAGTACATGGGCATTTTCACTTACTTGCTGGTGCTCGGAGTCGCCGCCGTCCACACCTGGCACCTGATCGGAGACCGGGCTCTGTCCAATGTAGGGGAGCTGCCATGTGGGTGCGCGGGGTGGGCGGGGTGTTTGGTGGACAGGCGTGGTGGACAGGCGTCAGGAGGGCGCAGGAGTGGGAGCTGCCGCGGGGTGGGCGGGGTGTTTGGTGGACAGGCGTCAGGAGGGCGCAGGAGTGGGAGCCTGCCGCATGGGTGCACGGGGTGGACGGGGTGTTTGGTGGACAGGCTCAGGAGGGCGCAGGAGTGGGAGCCTGCGTGCGAGGGGTTGTGTCCCCCGTGTGCCCAGGTCTGTGTGCTGTGCCACGTGCTGGCCCGCGCAGTGGCTCTGGTGGTCGTCCCGGCCGTCACGTACCTGCTGTTCTTCTACGTCCACTTGACGCTGCTCTGCCGCTCCGGGCCCCACGACCAGATCATGTCCAGCGCGTTCCAGGCCAGCCTGGAGGTGAGACGAGACCGTGGGAGACTTGGTTTCTCACGTAAACACTGTCGGATGAGCATCAGAGCGAGAAAGGAGGCCTGCGCCTCGGACTGTAAACTGGTCTGAGTGTCCCGAGGGTGCAGACGTGAGTGGGGGTAGCTCCGTCGGTGTGACGCAGAGCGGCCCCGAGACCCCTGCGAGGTCCCACAGGCTCCGACGGCCGCATAAGCCTCAGAGGACAGACAACTCGGCCTCATTCACACGAACTTTGCAGAAACAGCCAAATGCACCAGTTGAGGTGGTTGGAATTGTGGCCTGAAGTCACACCGACCTGTTCGGAAATGCTGGCAAGCGGCTTTCTCACCTCGTAAATGGACACAAGCCCTGCCTCCGAGGCGGCATGCCATCAGTGGTTCTGATCAGTGTAACAGACAGAGCTGTGTCTTGTCTATACTAATAAAAGGGTAATGTGCTAATTAGACCGGACATCTTCCAGACATCTTCTGGACAAAGCCACAGTCGCAGGGGCGAGGCAGAGGCAGTTAGAGGCGATCAGGCCAGCAGGGGAGGGCAGTTAGTGGCGACAGGCCGGCAGGGAGGGCAGTTAGGGGTGATCGGGCAGGCAGGCAGAGTGGTTAGGGGTGATCAGGCAGGCAGGTGAGCGGTTGAGCCAGCGGTCCTGGATTGCAAGAGGGATGTCCGACTGCTGGTAGTCGGACATCCCCTGAGGGGTTCTGGATTGGAGAGGGTGCAGGCCAGGCTGAGGGACCCCTCCTCCCGTGCACAAACTTCATGCACCGGGCCTCTAGTGTAATTATAATTGCCAGCACCCTGAATATGCTCCCAGGTGGGGGAGGGCTGTGCAGGGGAACCCTGACTCTCACTTGCCCCTTTTGGCCTTTGTAGGGGGGGCTGGCTCGGATCACGCAAGGCCAGCCCCTGGAGGTGGCCTACGGCTCACAGGTCACCCTGAAGAGCGCCTCGGGCAAGCCTGTGCCCTGCTGGCTCCACTCCCACCCGAGCACCTACCCGCTGAGGTAAGGAAAGTGCTGTTTTATTGGAAGTGATAGAATGTCGTACTTTTTCTGTTACCAACTTTCACACTATGTGAAGAGGGTCGGGGAGACAGGGAATTGAGCTCTTGGGCCTGATGGTCAGAGTCTTGGTATTTCTGCGTGTAAACCAGTGAGAGGGCTCGCTGGGCGGAGGGCCCGGCACACCCGCAAGGCGGCCTCGTGACCCCACACTGGTCGTGTTCTGCCCACGAAAGGTCCCATGTTCTGGCCCCTCTTAAACTGTTTTATCCTTATTTTCCCTTAAACACCATGCCGGGTAGTTTACGGGGCCCCCTGCAGACCCAGTCTTTGTTGACCCTCCCATGCAGCTACGAGAACGGCCGGGGCAGCTCCCACCAGCAGCAGGTGACCTGTTACCCCTTCAAAGATGTCAACAACTGGTGGATTGTCAAGGACCCCGGGAGGTGCGTACAGGTCCTGGGCCTTCAGGCCTGACAGCACGGTGGCCAGTAGGGCCTACACCATCTGCTCCTGCTCCTCCTGCCCGCCCTCCCCACTCACCTGCTCCCACTCCTCCTGCCCGCCCTCCCCACTCACCTGTTCTAGCTCCTCCTGCCCGCCCTCCCCACTCACCTGTTCTAGCTCCTCCTGCCCGCCCTCCCCACTCACCTGTTCTAGCTCCTCCTGCCCGCCCTCCCCACTCACCTGCTCCAGCTCCTCCTGCCCGCCCTCCCCACTCACCTGCGCCAGCTCCTCCTGCCCGCCCTCCCCACTCACCTGTCCCTGCTCGTCGAGGCCAGTGGGGCCCTGCGTCCCTTTCCCCGGGCGGGCACTGAGCAGGTCTGTGTGAGAGGGATCTCTGAGTGGGCCCCGCAGTGTTGGTAGCACAGAGCAGCCAAGTGTGAAGGTGGCAGACGGGACCACGTTTGGAAGTTTGGAAAGTGGCCATAGGTTTCAGAAACGAGTTCAGTGACATGGCTGTTGACACGAACTCACCTTGTACAAGGGACAAACTGGTTGGGCGGCTGCACATTCCCAATTGTCCCCCTGGGAGCACCCAGGGCCTCGACACGACCAGGTGACGTGCGGCTCCTGTCTTCCCAGGCACCAGCTGGAGGTGAGCAACCCGCCCAGGCCCGTGCGGCACGGGGACGTGGTGCAGCTGGTGCACGGCATGACCAGCCGCCTCCTCAACACGTGAGTCCACGCCGCCCTCCCTCCTCCTCCCAGTTCCCAGCTGTGCTCCCCTGCACTCCCTGCGGGAGGGGACTCAGGGACGGCAGCTGAGGGGAGCAGAGGGAGGGAGATGGCTCTAGTGAGGGGCCAGATGAGGGGAGAGCAGCCAGGCTCTCGTGCTCAGGGTGCAGTGGGCTCCTCCGTCGGTGGTGTCCCCGCTGTGTCAGTGAGCCCAGCAGGGCTGGGACTGGGGTTCAGTGGGGCAGGAGGGTGGGGACACGTTGGCTCTCAGCCCTGACCTAACTCAGCCTCTGAGCAGCCCCTGTGTTTCGGGGGCTGGGCCGCCCCTCACTACACCACCACCCAGCGTCCCCGTCCCCGGGCCATACTTTCCGTCAACGTGATCTGGCATCCTTGGGTCATAGCGACTACAGGACCGCTGCCCCTTGGGCTGAGCTGGCTCTGTTTCTGAAAAGCGGCTTTTCCCCTTAAAGAAACAGTGAGCTGAGGAATTCCCGTGAGCATTGTTTGGTGTTGCAGGCACGACGTGGCAGCCCCTCTGAACCCCCACGCGCAGGAGGTGTCCTGCTACATCGACTACAACATCTCCATGCCCGCCCAGAGCCTCTGGAGGCTGGTGAGTCTCGGGCACTGCAGACGGGGAGTGACCACCATCAGCACACGCACCTTCTAACAGGACGTTGGAAACTGCCGTTTAGCATGATCCAGGTTCAGGGGTAACCTGGGAAGGGATACGGTCATCAGAGTTCGTGGCTGCTTTTACAGGGAGTAGAGACTTCCACAGATCATGGATCTGGGGGCGCTGGTATCAGACAAAGAGTATACAGACAGTTGGTAAATGCTCGCTGCTGGGCTCTGTGGCCCACGTGGTTCTGCCAGGAGGAGGTGCCTCTGGCTTGGTCACTTAGCATCAAGGCCAGGTCACTGAACCCGGGGTCGGGGCTCCAGCACCCTCCTCACCCAGGAGCCTCGGTCGGCCTGGCCTGACAGGAACACCTGCCCCGTCGCAGGCTCCCCTGGGAGAGGCCTGGCCCTTGGGGGAGCCCTGGGGCTGCCCCTTCCACGGCAGCTGGGATAGTGGCCGCCTTCCTCTGAGCGACCAGGGCCACATGGCCCTTTATACGAGTCTCGCTCTCCAGGATGCAGGCGGTGTCCTAGGAAAGGTGGCGGGGAACGTCCTGGTGTCCTGGACATTGGCTGTCTGAGTTCAAGGGCGTGAGCTGAGTGATGGCACTGGGGTCGCCTCCCCGAGGCTCCTGCAGCGGCAGCTCCCCACTCAGCCCCGTGTGTTCAGTGAGTGTGGCTGGTGGCCCTCAGCAAGGCGGGGGCTGCTTTTCCATGTCTGTGCCCAGCAGCACCTCTCCTCCCCCTTCACATGCGACCGACGTCCATGTGCTGTGATGTTCTCATGCACCTGCTTCGCCCGCCTCTCCCCTGGCGTTCCCGCCTCCATGGGAGTTGTTTGTGCCTGTTCTGTGACATCGGGAGCTGTCCCAATGGTCCCAGGCCCTCCCGCTGCTGGCTTGTCGCGGAGGTCTCCTTGCTGATCCCTCTCCTCCTCCTCAGTCCCTGCTGGTGGCCCTGTCAGCCCCACACGGAGCAGGGGGAGGCAGGCTGACCGCAGTGCGGCCCCTACGCCACCTCACGGCGCCCTCGCGAGGCCACAACAATGCCAAGTGCTCCTCAGGTGTTAGTTGTTTATTACCCAATGTCAGGAGTCCCCTGGGACAGCTTTCAGGGACGGTCTCTAACTTCCATTGCTCCATCTTTGCATCTGGGCCGAGCTCTAAGCCCTGTGGGTGAGCAGGCATCCCAGAAGCGCAGGGCAAGACCGGTCTTTGGTCTCTGCCTGAAGGCTGAGCTGCTGCTGCAGGAGGCACTGTGCCCCCAGGCTCAGCCCGCTACCCCCCAGGATCAGCCCACTACCCCCCAGGATCAGCCTGCTGGCCCCCAATCAGCCCACTAGCCCCAGGATCAGCCCGCTGGCCCCCCAGGATCAGCCATCAGTTTCGGCGCATGTGACTGGCCTCACCTTCCTGTTGAAGGAAGCCTGAGAGGGAAATGTAACGGGCAGATCTACTCTCATAGGACATCGTGAACAGAGAGTCGGACGCTGAAATCTGGAAGACCATCCTGTCGGAGGTGCGCCTCGTGCACCTGAACACGTCCGCCATCCTGAAGGTAAGGGCTGCTGCCTGACCCAGAGCCTGCATCTCGGCCCACAGATCGGTGCGCGGCTCCTGGCCGAGCCTGCCCTTCCCTGGACATTGTGCCAAGTGGGTTCCGTGTTTCCACTGAAGGTGGGGGGCCTTTCTAAGTCCGCAGAACTTAGCCTGGACATGAGGACCTCAGGGCCTGGCTCGCCCCTCACGCCCTCTTGTCCCGCCTTCCAGCTGAGCGGGGCCCACCTCCCCGACTGGGGCTTCCGGCAGCTGGAGGTGGTCGGGGAGAAGCTGTCCCGGGGCTACCACGAGAGCGCCGTGTGGGCCGTGGAGGAGCACCGCTACGGCAGGAGTGAGTCGCTGACCCCCGGGGCCCTCGTGAGAGGCGGCACAGCTCCCACGCTCTGTCGCACACCCCTCGCCCCTCCCATGCCCGCGGAAGCTGCCAGCAGCCAGGGGGTTACCCTGCGGTCGACAGGCAGTGTGAGCCGAGCTCTCACGGGTCCAAAGACCCTAATTTGTTGGTAGTTTCTCGGGGAAACAGAATGGGATGCCGCCAGTCGCCGTGGGGTTTGGAAGGCAGGGAAGCCACTGGCGCCGAGCCCACAGCTCTGCCCAGCTCCTGACCTTAATCTGCTCCTGTTCTTTCGGGCCTGGTGTGTCCGTCAGGCCAGGAGCAGAAGGAGAGGGAGCTGGAGCTGCACTCACCAACTCACGTGGACGTCAGCAGGAACCTGAGCTTCATGGCCAGATTCTCGGAGCTGCAGGTAACGTGGAGCGGGAGGCGGGAATGGGGGCTGTGGAGTCCTCACCTCCCCAAGTCAGTCTTTACCTGGGACCTGACGCAGTGGAAGGAGTGTGTCTGTCCCTCCTGCCACCCAGCCACCCAGCATGCCATGTTGCCAGTCCCCAGTCAATCCAATGGAGACCAGAAGCACGGCTCCCTGGTCTAGATGTGCCCTTAGACGAGGTGACTGGAGCCCCTGGGGCCGGCCACTGCCTGGCCACCAGCAGGTGGGAATTCAGGTCTCCTGCCGAGCCCGCCTGTCAGGCCGCGCTGCCTCCGCTGCGCCTTCCAAATGAGCTTGAGGTTGGGCCCCACGCGCAGGTGCCTGGCTGCCTGACGGGCTCTGCTGTGTTGCAGTGGAGGATGCTGACGGTGAGGAGCGACGACTCGGAGCACAAGTACAGCTCCACGCCGCTGGACTGGGTCACCCTGGACACCAACATCGCCTACTGGCTGCACCCCAGGACCAGTGTAAGCAGAGCTGCGCCGTGGCCTTAATCCCCTCTGCTTCCCGCCGAGTCTGCTGGCTCCTGGGCTGGCCTCAGAGCCGAGGAGCGAGGGCGCGTGTGCGGTGGAAGGAAGCGGCATCTGCTCTTGTGGCCGCGCTGCGCCTTCCCTGCTGTCCGTGCACGGCCCCTGCGCTCAGCAGGCAGAGGTTCCTTCAGGCACCTGTTGTCGCTTCCCCCAGGGAAGGCGGTAGAGCCAGCTCAGCCATGGCTCCTGGGACGACACAAGCTAACGATGCTCACGTCCTCCCGGCCCAGAGCGCGCCGAGCGGTCACTCGCAGAGCAGGGCCCCGGGCACACCCTTAGCTCTGCGTTGCTCTATGTGAGTCCCTCTGGGAGCAGCCTGCTGTTGAAGACAATCGCGGCTCCTGATTGTAGGAAACTCCGCACGTCCTAGAAAGGGCCCCGTCAGGAGCAGGCCCCATGGAGGCTGCGCTGATGGCATCTCGGTCCTTGTAGGCTCAGATCCACCTGCTGGGGAATGTGGTGATCTGGGCTTCCGCCGGCCTCGCCACTGCGCTGTACGCCCTGCTCTTCTGCTGGTACCTGCTCCGCCGCCGGAGGCGTGTCTGTGAGCTCCCCGAGGGTGCGTGCACGCTCCCCCCGTTTCTCCTCCTCCTAGTTCTGACCAGAGCTCAGCTCACCAGGAAGCTCTGCCTTTAGGTGGCATCTTTGTTTCTGCATCCAGGGGCGTAAATTACTTTTGTCTCCCCAGAGACAAAATGTTGCAGTTCAGCTCCCACGTGACCTTCGGGGCTTCTCCAGGGAGTGCAGGCACTGGGCAGGGAGGGGCAGGCACTGGGCAGGGAGGTGCAGGCACTGGGCAGGGAGGGGCAGGCACTGGGCAGGGAGTGCAGGCACCGGGCAGGGGTGGCTGGTGAGCCCAGGGCAGAGCCGCCATGAGTACCCAGTGGAGGGTCTGGTGTTTGCTAGTAACAGAAACCCACTTAGCACCTCCTGTTGTGGGGCTCCGGGAACTGGCCCGTCCTCCCCACTGGACGGGCAGCCCCTCAGCTCCCCGAGGAGTTGTACCGACCAGATAATCCCGACACGGGACCTTGACGAGCAGCAGAGGCTGGGCCTCCCGCAAGGGCTGTTCCGCAAGGGCTGGTATTTCTCAGAGGAGAGACCGTGAGGACCCAGCGGGCGCTGCAGGGGGTTCTGAGGACCAGTCTGTGGGGGGGGGGGGGACAGGGGGGGGGAGTGAAGTGCGGAGCCTACGGTGACTTAGGTTCAGTACTGGCCTGCCCCACTCTCCCCAGATTCTTGGCTGCGCTGGGTGCTGGCCGGGGCCCTGTGTGCTGGCGGCTGGGCGACGAACTACCTCCCGTTCTTCCTGATGGAGAAGACGCTCTTCCTCTACCACTACCTGCCCGCACTCACCTTCCAGATCCTTCTCCTGCCCGTGGTCTTGCAGCACATCGGCGAGCACCTGTGCAGGTCTGGGCCAACACAGTGTGAGGGGCGGACTGGGGCCCTGGGGTCGAGGATGAGCCTGCACAGCTGTTGGGGTGGGAAGTGGGAAGTAGGTCTGTGGTCCAGAGACCAGGAGGAAGGCGAGCACCGGGAACCTGAGGGTGGGGAGGGTTCTCGAACGGCCATATTGGCCCGATTGCAGGCGCAGAGGAGGTAGACCGGGAAGCTGTGTAACCTGGGGCGGGGCTGGGAGCCTGGAAGCCTCGAACGGGGAGGCGGGGGGGGGGGAGCCGTGATGCGTGGGGTTCGCGTTCAGGTGGAGCAGAGGCCTGGAGACCCGAGAAGTGGGCCAGCGAGGAAGTCATGCTCAGCGCCAGGCAGGCTGTGACGGGCATGACGGAGGGGGGGGGGTGGGGCAGGAAGAGGCCAGGTGCTGAGTGCGGCCAGTGGGGCAGAGCCAGCCGCTCACACCTGCGCTCTGCTCTGGCGCCCACAGGTCCCAGCTCCACAGGAGCCTGTTCGGCGCCCTGGTGGTGGCGTGGTACTCGGCCGCCTGCCACGTGTTTAACATGCTGCGCCCACTGACCTACGGGGACAAGTCGCTGTCACCCAGCGACCTCCAGGCCCTTCGCTGGAAAGAGAGCTGGGACATCCTGATCCGCAAACACTAGCAGGACTGGCACGAGACATCCAGGGTCGGGACCGGGACACGTTCGGGGGAGCTGGCCAGGCCTGGCAGGGGCTCTCCTCTGGTCCCCTTCACCTTAAGCACCTTATTCTTATGCGGACAATAAAGAACATGCTGTGCCCACAAATCCCGGAGCCCTACATGGGGACACGTGTTGAGTGGCTAGTGTGGGACTCGGCGACGGAGAGATGGCGGGGAGTGGGAGTGACGGGCGTGAGGGTCAGACCAGACGGGCTGGTCTTGCTAACAGACACGCCTGGTCCTCCCTCCCGAGCACCCGCTGGCCCCGAGCTAGAGCCTCTGCCCCGTGAGGCCTCTAGGCTTTGCCCGGAACAGCCGAGTGTCACTAGCCACTTGGCCAGCCGGGCGGGGCCTCAGTCTGAGAGAGACAGTATAACCCTGTGTCAACCCTCTCGCTGACTGTACACCCGTGAGGCTAACGAGGAGCAGACAGTCAAGGTGTGTCATCTGTTCCTTGTCCTGAACTCGCCTTTTGGTGTAATTAAAAAGGGACCACTGCCCTGGCCGGCTTGGCTCAGTGGAGAGAGCGCCAGCCTGCGGACTGAAGGGTCCCAGGTTCCACTCCGGCCAAGGGCATATGCCTGGGTTGCGAGCTCAATCCCCAGTAGGGGGCGTGCAGGAGGCAGCCGATCAATGATTCTCTTCTCCCTTCCTCTCTGAAATCAATAAATATATTTTAAGAAATAATAAAAAGGGACCACTGGCATTCATATTGGTTATTTATTGATTCTCTCCCCAAAGGGCACAACACGCTTGACGAAACTGTCAGTCACCAGCAGCCGGCCACGGCTCAGCCGATGTCAGTTGTGTGACCAGCTACTACTCAGAGTGCCGCGCAGGTCAGCACAGTGATGGGGCAGGACCCCTTTAACACGTGGCCACCACATGGGAAGGAAGACACTCCAGGACGACACGGGCCACGGGGGCTTGGGGCATGGACTTGGTGAGGGAGGGAGAGGGGCTGGCTTTGGGCCACAGCACTCGCTCATGCCTCCAGGTCCAGCATATTCCTTGGCTGGAGGTGGGACAGCACCCCGGGCTCAGGGTCCCCTGGTGGACACTCCCCAGCAGGGGCCGGGCAGGCTCGGGGCTGGGCGAGCGGGTGTCCCTGCTTCCTGTCTGGTGCTGGTTAAAAACACGCCTGTCCCCAAGGCTCCTTCCCCACCCGCCCTGGAGCCCAGGCCGGGAGAAAGGCCTCGCTGGCTCCTCACGTCAGGTCAGCGAGTCGCAGGCTGGATCACCACCCACTGCGG